TGGCAGATGCCTGTGCTTCCCAGTCCAAGCTGGGGGAGGGGTTCTGGGGCAGGGAAGTGGATGGAGGAGCCCACAGCTCCACAGCTCAGGAGGGCTCTTTGCTGTGGCTGTCAGGCCCAGCAGATCAGCCAGGGTTCAAAAACAGGGGCTCAGAGCAGGGGGAAGGGGTGCTTTCTGTCGTGAACCAGATAGATAACTGGTGACTTTTTGATGCTTTTCTCACCTCCTGTGGCTGCAGGCAATGCCTTTGAGCCAATGACCATGTTCAGACTTGCGGTGTCCAACGTGATCTGCTCTGTGGTTTTTGGGAGCCGCTACAGCTACAGTGACGTGGCTTTCCTGGAGCTGCTCGACGCCATTGGGAACTACATCAGCTTCTTCCTGTCCCCCATTGCCAAGGTGGGAACCTGGTGTGCTCAGCACCCTCTGTCTGCTGCCCTCGGGGGCTGAGGATGCTCCCTGGCTTTGGTGGGACATCGTGGCTTTGAGGGAGGGGCTGGGAGGCTGTGCCCAGGAACCTGAGCCCTGCCATGGCCCTGCCTCCGCAGGTGTACAACACCTTTCCCAGCATCATGCACCGGCTCCCAGGGCCACACAAGAAGGTCCTGGCCGACTGCCAGAAGCTGAAGGACCACATCCAGGAGAAGGTGCAGTTCCACCAGCTGACTCTGGACTCCAGCTGCCCCCGGGACTACATCGACTGTTTCCTGATGAAAGCAGAGAAGGTAGAGGGGGGGCTGCCCTGCAGCCTGGCTGCAGCCTGGAGTATCACCCAGACAACACTGAATCCCCCTCACCACATCTTCTTGCAGGAGAAGGGCAGCCCAGAGCCCATGTACAGCCCCGAAGACCTGATCATGTCAGTGTTCAACCTCTTTGGCGCCGGGACAGTGACAACCAGCAACACCCTTGTGTTCTTCCTGCTGACGCTGGCAAAGCACCCCCACATCCAAGGTACGGCAGCAAAACACAGCTGCTCCTGTGCCTGGGGTGCTCAGGGGGCAGAGGGTCCCCACCCTGGATGGTCCCGTTTGGGGGCGGACCCAGATCATCCTGTGGGGTCATCCAAGGGTGGGAGCTGTTAGACACAGACTCCTTCTCACAGGCCAGGGGGATCCGGGTGCTTCTCTCTGTGCTCCATCCCTGCCCCATGCAGATGGTCCTGGACTGGCCAGTGGGAGATGCTCTGAGCTTGCCTGATGCAGGGAGGGATGAGGACAGAGTTTCGTGGCTCTACAAGGAATTAGGCCAGGTTGCTGCCCCTCTAGCCCATCCCCAGGTTATAAGTGCCCGTGGAGGCCAGTAGGAAACTCTGGGGAGGCTGCACAGCAGGTACCCAGCCCCTCTGCTGTCCCCAGCCAAGGTCCAGGAGGAGATCGATGCCGTGGTGGGCACTGGCCGTGCCCCCAGCACGGAGGACAAGCTGAGGATGCCCTACACCAACGCCGTGATCCATGAGCTGCAGCGCTTCCACAAGACCCGCATCGAGAACTTCCCGCGCATGACAACACAGGACGTCCTGTTCATGGGCTACACCATCCCCAAGGTACACACAGTGGCCTCGGAGCCTGTGTCCAAGGGAGAGGTGGCAGCGGGGGCTTGAATGACATTTGCCTTTGTCCTCGGACTGTTTGCACACAGCTGAAGGTCCTGGGTCTTTCCCAACCCTTGGTAGCAATGACCTTTCAGAGGGGAGCAGAATACCACTGCCTGCCCTGCCCCGAGTTCCTTCCTTGTCCATCCTGGAAAACAGCTCCTCCCACCAGGGAGCCGTGCAGGGCTGGAGCAGGAGCCCACCCCGGGGTGGGACCAGGCCAGACCCCCCCCACTCTTTGGCAGATCTGGGGACAGTCATCCCTCCTGGTCTGACCACGAGCATTGTGTGCAAAATCCACCCTGAGGGAACATCTCCCACCTTTGTATTTGGGGCAGCGAAAGGAGCTTTAACAGCAACCCACGGAAATAACTGAGTAATTTGTGTCTCATGAGCTGCACAGAGACAGGCAGGACCATGGGCACAGCAGAGCCCCACATCAGCTGTCCCAGTGGCACAGAGCCACCATTCCAGGCTGCCTCCCCATAGGAACCTGCTCGGGTATTGGGGTGCAGCACCCCACCGTGTCCCCTGGGTGCTCCTCCCTGACTAATCCACCCCAGAAGAGCCCATGGTGTGGTACTGATGTCCCTCCTCACATCCCTGCCCCATCTCTCTCCCACAGGGCACTCCTGTTATTCCGGTACTTTCCTCTGTGCATTCGGATCCAACCCAGTGGGAGAACCCCAAAAAAGTGGACCCCGGACACTTCTTGGATGAGAAGGGCGAGTTCAGGAAGCGTGAGGCCTTCATGGCATTCTCAGCAGGTCAGTGCTCCCCCACGCTGCCAGCTCTGTGCCCAGGAGAGCCAGCACAGACCAGTGGCACCATAGTGCCACCGTCACCACGGGCTGCCTGCCCAGCCTTCTATCCCTCGGTTCCCCACCGGTGTCACCCCTCTCTCCATGCCCAGGGAAGCGGATGTGCCCGGGGGAGGCACTGGCCCGCATTGAGCTCTTCCTGTTCCTCACCACGCTGCTTCAGAGCTTCACCTTCCAGCTGGCCACTGAGCACAAGGAGCTGGATTTGTTCTCTCTGTGGCTCGAGATTGAGAGGAGGGCGATCCCGGGCAAGTTCTTCGCTATCCCACGCTCAGTGTCCTCCTAAGCTGGGAGAGCAGGGCAGGGAAAGGCTCTTCCAGGTACCTGCACCCCTGCCCCAGAGCGAGCCCTGTGGCCACGAGGGCTCAGCCACAGCCACCACCAGAGGGACAGTTTGGGCTTGGAGTTTCTCCAAGGAGGAAAAATGAGGATCATGTTCCTGGCATTGCTTTTCCTCTCCCATCCTTATCCATGCTGTTTGAGCTCCTCATGGCAGGGCTGCCTGGGGCTCCTGGGCTGGGTGGGGGCTTCCTCAGTTTGGTGATGGATTCAGACACCTCTGCAATAAAAATAACAATCTCAATAATAAAAATAAAAATCAGAAGAAGATATTGGTGTTTATAAGAACACTTTTGGTGCCTCTTGCATCCAGCTCTTCCCAGTGCAAACCTCCCAGACACAGGATTTCAGCTCTGTGTCTCTTCCTGGGGTGTCTTCACCTTTCCCAGAATAGCTCGAGCCAGGAAATCACCCAGGCATCAATCCAGTGCCACCTCTGCCATGGCAGGGACACCTCCCACTGTCCCAGGCTGCTCCAAGCCCCAGTGTCCAACCTGGCCTTGGGCACTGCCAGGGATCCAGGGGCAGCCACAGCTGCTCTGGGTACCCTGTGCCAGGGCCTGTCCACCCTCACAGGGAACAATTCCTTCTCCATATCCCATCTAACCGTGCCCTACAGCAGTTTGAAGTCACTCCTCTTTGACCTGTCACTTCAGTTCCTTGTTCCAAGTCCTTCTCAGCTCTCCTGGAGCCCCTTCAGGTACTGGAAAGGGCTGTCATCTCTCCCTGGAGTCTCTTCTCCAGGGTGAACAATTCTCTCACCTTCCAAAAGCACACACTGGCTATCTCGGTGCTAGGCTGTGCTTCTCTGATTCCTTCACATCAATATTTAACTCCAGAAAATGCCCTCAGGTGCCAGTTCAGCTTCGTGTGCAACTGCTGGAGTCACTCCAGCACTCAGCTCCTGAGGGGAGCTGGCAGGGTGGGATGTGTTCCCAGCCCTATTGTTGCCCCTGCCTGGGGGTGAGGGTGCTGCAGAGGGTGTTGTGTCAGCAGTGGGTCTTGGGGGCCCTATGAAGCCTGGAAATTCAGGGCATGGGGAAAAATTGGGTTCTCCAGGGGTCTCAGAGTTGGTTTTGGTAGGGTTTGCCTTGCTGGGGTGCTCCTGCAAATATGGAGAAGGGGACAGCAGGGACTCTGCCCTGGGGAAGGTGACTGTGCCCTGCTGGAGGGAGGTGGGATCAGGGACCGGTAAATCCTCCTGCCTTGTCCCAAATGATGCATAAGCCAACCTTTACTCTGACTCTAAGTGCATTTGGGACTTTTAGATTACTAAATCAGCTCTTTTCATAATCTGGGGAAGCTCAGGCTGGCAAAGTCACCTGCCAAAAACGTGTGTGACTAAAGCCTTTGCTCAATCTCTGCCTGAAGCCCTCGGTCAGCACTGTGACTGTGACCTGCGTGACCTCTGGGCTTCTGTGTCTAAAACCAAACACCGGTGTCCAAAGGCCACTCATGCTCCGTTTCCCGCAGCGTCTCGCAGCCCATTTGTGTCACTGCCCAGCCCAGCCGTGCTCGGGGCTGCCATGGTGACTGCGGGTCCCCATCCTGGAGGGGCTGCTGGCATCCTCCGGCACCCCGACATCCCCCAACATCCTCCAATATCCCCTGGCACCTGCCATCGACCTGACATCCCCTAGCACCCTGACATCCCCTAGCACCCCGACATGCCCTGGCAGCCCGACATCCCCCAACATTCCCCGGGCGTCCCCCGGCGCCGCCTGCGGAGGGGCTGTGCTCGTGGGTTGCGCGGCTCTTAGCAGCATTACGGCGGCGGTTGGAGATTACGGTAACTGTCGCGGCGGTGGCGGTGCCGGTGGCGGTGGCGGTGCCGGGGAGCCCTGGTGAGCGGCTCCCTTCCTTTCCCTCTGCAATGTCTCAGCCCCAGCCGTACTCCTCCTGATGAAAGTCGAGTAGCTAAAGGCAGAGAAGGTTTTTCCCGTGTTCTCAGTCCTTGGCATGAGCGGCCCTGCTGTGCCCCCTTGGAGCCTGGAGCTGTCACCTTGCCGTGCTGGTGACTGCCGGAGCTGGAAGGTGCAGAGCACAGAGCCAGCTCCTGCACTGTGTCCCCACCAAGCTCCCCCAGCGTGGCCCTCTGATCGCCTGGTGTTTCCATGCGGGAGGTGCCCTCGCCACTCCCCAGGGCAGGGGTGAGGGGGAAGAGATGTCACCCTGTCCCTCAGCCCCCCTGGTGTGAGCTGTCCTGCATACCAGGAGCGTTGCCAGCATTTTCCTGTGGCTTGCACAGTGCCAAAGTGATGAGTTAAAGACCACCCAGCTCTTCCAGGGCGGTGCTGACAGCTGTGCTGTCCATGGCACCAAAGCTCCAGCACTTCCAGGACTATAAATTCCCTGTTTTCCAGGTGGCCAAGCACCAGAACTTGCTTTGCACACGCCAAAACACGGCGTGCCCTGCCAGGAGGAGGATACTGAGTGCCCTGCTGATGCAGGGACAGCTTACCTTTGTCCTTAGCTGATGTAGATGCCCCCATGGTTCCTGCATCTCTCCAGTTACATTCCAATGTCGGCCAACCCAAGGATTTCACTCGTGTCCTGCCGATCCAGCTGTCCATGTTCATCCTGGGTAAAGCTGCTCTGATTTTCCCGTGCTTTTCCCCTAAGGGTAAGGAATGGTCTCTAGAGGGGATTAGCCAACCTGCCCCTTTAACTTCCCAGGGCTTTTGGATCAAAAATCCCTGGATGCCTGTTCTGCTGTGAATGGCCACTGGGAATTCCTGGTCAGGCAGGTCCGGGAGGAGCAGGAGTGTCGGAGCACAGTACAGAAGACCCTTCTGCAGCTGCAGGTGGGACACCTGGGCTCCTGCCATTATTATGCACTTTAAAAAAGAGGGTTTTGCTGCTGCCCAAGCTGTTAAATGGAAATTCCTGTACCAGAGGCTGCCCCCCAACTCTGCCATGGCCCTTCCACATCCAGCTGCAGAGCTAAGCCAGGTGACATTTCACATTGTCACAAGGAACCACCAGGAAATGGCTTTTACTCTCCTTTAGACAGCCTGTGACTCTAAAAATGGATGCAAATATTCTTTAAGAAAGCAGCGTTTGGTCACAATGAAAATTTCCAGAGATAGTGGAGGGTGTCTTTGTGAGGAGCTGGGGGTAGTGGTTGGAACAAAGGGATGCAGAAGTACTGGGAGAGGCCTGGTCTGGCCAGTAGGACCTGCCACAGACCGAGCGAGGTGTGAAGGAGCCTCCCTCAAGAGAGACTGGGGCCTCTGCTGCTTTGGGTTGTGAAGGGAGCACAGAAACTCAGCTCTGTGCTGGCCTTCAGAAAAGGCTTCAGGGAAGGTTTCACCGGCTAGCAATGAATCTTGAGTGCTGACCAAGATGTTTTGAGAGCCTCTCATCTCAGTTGGATTCTGAATCAACTGAGTGCCTGCCAAAGGTGAGACGAGCTCAAAATTTTGCTGCTTACTAAAAGCTTAAGACTAGAGTTTGGAAAAAATTAATAAAAAACTATTCTTTTTCACCAGAAGTTGAACCTTAGGTAGATAAAGTGCTAAATGTAAGCCATTGTGTGCAGCTCAGCTTTGCAGGGAACCTCAGCATCCTGGGAAAGATGGGCAGCACCCCTGCATGCACGGGCTCTGCAGTAACTGCTGCCTCTGTTGGTTTGTTCCAGGAGTTGTGTCCTAGAAAAGCCATTCCAAACTATGCCAAAAGAGTCAATGTGCAAATTCCCCAGTTAAATGATGAGGGTGAGGTCATTGAAGTGAAGGACAAGGAGCAGACCAAGCGACGTAAATCAAAGGTTTGTTGGAGGCTGCTTGCCTTCCATGATGCTGCATGTCGGTGTTTGGGGAGCAGAGATCTGGGAAGACAGCACAGTGAATTTGGAATTGCTTTGTTCTTTCCCACTCCTTTTGGATTGCCCCATTGTAAGCAGTTCATGGGGACCAGGGCTTGCTCATCACCTTCTTACATGGGAGGGAGTTTGGGAGGCGTTCCCAAACTTCTGCCTCGTCCCTGTGTGTCCCCAGTCATGGCACAATCCTGGGGCCAGGGGCCTTCGTCCCACAGAATAAAGGGTGCAAATCTCAGGGCTTCCATTTATGCCACAGAACACGGCCTGGGAGCAACCCTGGCCTAAACAGGGTCTTGCTGCACTCTGGTTTTCCTTACTGATACTCTGGGTCTGTGCTGGGCTCACCCCTAGAGCTGATATGTTCAATATTATGGAATAATGCTGCTTTCCTGCCTCCCTGTGTTACTTTTCCTTATCTCCCTTGCCATCAGACGGAGGATTTCAGTCTGCACGAAGCCTATCAGGAACTGAAAACTCACAAGATTGAGCTGGAAGAGAGGAATGTCTTCTGTGGCCCCTACAAGACTCATGTCCTCATGGAGCAGTGAGTAGAGTTCCCAGCTGTAGGGCCAAGAGCAGCTTTAGGAAAGCTGTTCCATTCCCTGTGATCCTCCTGGATGTCTGGAGAAGGGTCAGCGTTAAGAAGTCTCCATTTTTTAAATAAAGATACCAAGATAAGCTGTTTTTAAAGGAATAAGGCTTAGTGATCCATGGTGTATCCCAAGAGATACGGGGCTGGGATGAGCCCTGCCCCTTCTACCCACCCTGATACAAAGGGGGGGATGAGCAGATTTAGGGACTATGGTGGTGCCCTGCAAAGGATTCCCCGTGGGAGTGCTGCCCGTTGTGCTCAGTCCAACACAGGGAAATGCTGACCCAGGCCTGGCTAATGCAGCCACTGCTCCTGTCCAGATCAGACAGCACAAGGAGAACCCATTACAGTGGTGGGGACTGGGTGGCCGCTGCCTCTGCCAACAGAAGAGTGAGGCTGCTGCGTGTGCCGGGAGGGAAGGAAGTGCCTCTGCTGCTGCACGGCCACGCTGGCCCCATCAGAGCTCTGTGCCTCCGTGAGGACCAAGGGCTCCTGCTCAGCAGCACCAGCTTTGACCTCAGCATCAGGTGAGCTGTGCCTGGGACACCCAACCCCTGGCAAAATGAGGGGAAAGGGAAGGATAGGGGTAAAACTTTCATACAAAGCCTGACTTAATCACTACAATTTCTCTCACACCTTAGTGGAACAGCTCCTGGCTTTAACCTGGTGTGTGGGAGCAGAGTTGGGCACATTTAATAGGGAATAATAATGGAATCACGTGGAAGGAATCCTAAAGTTCATGTGGTTTCTCCTCTCTTGGGTTGGTGCTCTGTAGGTGCTGGAATATTCACAGTGGTGCCTGTGTGAAAACCTTCACAGGTCACTATGCAACAATCACCTGCCTGCATTGCCACGAGGAGCACTTTGTGTCAGGATCTAGGGATGGGATGGTGAAAGGTGAGAGGAGCACCGGGAGCTCCAGCCAGAGGGAATTACTGGAGGATAACAGGCAGAGGCCAAAGAGCTGGTGGTAGTGAGACACAGGGATGGGAGTGGAAGGAAGGGTGGGAGTCAGAGGGTGTTTCCATGACAGCCTAAGCTGGGGACACTTGCACACACAGTCTGATTGTGTCAAGGACAAAATTCTCATTATTTCTATTTTTATTCAGAATTAATGGCTTTGTGGCTGTAATGCCATCCCAACTCTTGGGCAAGTGGTATAAACTTTAAGCTTTGCCAGATGTTTCCTTACAGAATAAAGCTGAAAAAGATGTGCTTTTTCTGGACTTCACATTTAAAATTTTTTGCCATACAATTATGCTTTTTAAGCCAACACTCAGCTCTTCACAGAGCTGCAGGTACAAGGAGTGACTGTAATCCAACAGTATGTTGTACTCCCAAAACTCATCACTGCGGCAGATGTATTTTTAGTTCTCCCTTTTGCCCCAACAGTGTGGAGCCTGAAGAGTGGGAAATGTCTCAGGACTCTGATGCACAGCAGCCCTGTGTGGGCAGTGAGGATGGACAGGACCCATGTGGTCAGTGGGGGTCACCGAGGGCTGGTGAAAGTCTGGAGTGCTGAGACAGGGGCTCTGATCAAGGTGAGTTTCCTCTTGGGTGGATAATTCTGTGGTAATTGGTCGAAACTCTCTGCTAGCTCATCATAGTTTTTTGCATTTGCCAAAGACTTTCTAAAAAAGAAAATAATCCTCCCAAACAACCCCCAAAGCAGTCTAAACCAATCAAGGAAACTGCAGATAATTAAAAAACTGACTTGCAACCAGCTGCTGATTTTAAGGCAGGGTATGATTTGCATCACTCCCATCACTGCTCGTTCTCCATAGGTTTGTTCATCTCTGCTCCCACAGAAACCTTCTGAACCTGGGGAGATGATGGGAGAGCTTCACTAACCTGGGCTGGAGGCACCAGGGCTCAGCCCAAATCTCACTCTCAGAAGCAGAATCTGGAGCTGAAGCAGCTGGGCAGCTGTGGGAGCATTGAGGCTGTGAATTCCCTGATCAGGGGCCCAGGAACAGGGTCAGTCCACATGTGGGAGAGGAGGGAAGCTCTTTACCTGCACAGAAATGGAGAGGTAGCCCAGATATCTCAGATATCCCAGCCCCTTCCCCCACAGCCAGGGCAACCCCCTCTTCCCTCCTGGTATAACATTCCAGAGACCACAAAGCTCTTGGTGGAGTGACATCTCGTCATGTAATAAAGATGGAAAAGGGATGTTATTCCATGCCAGGAGCTCAGCAGCAGCACCAAGCCCAGAACATTTCAGTGACTGTAAAATAAGCACATAGAGTGCACTGGTACAATAACACCCTATAAAACCGTATCAGGCTGGTGTCCTGAAAGCCATGGGACACCTCTGACAGATTTACATCCAGATTACTGATAGTGTTGCACCTTCTTCTTTTACTTTGCAGACACTAGAGAAGCACCAAGGCCCAGTTCTCTGCTTGTCCTTTGACCAGTGGCACCTCGTCACGGGGAGCAGTGATGGATATGCCCTGGGATGGAGCATGTTGGGAAGATATAGGAGATGCCTGATAGCTTTCTTCCATCCCAAGTAGGAATCAGATGTGTTTCACGTTGTATTCAATAATGGACTGAATCTATAAAGAAAATGTGCCCCTTACAGGACTAGAAAATGTCTTAATTACCAGTCTGAGGATTTGACATATCCCCATTTTCACCAATCTTTATCTCAAAGGCTCTGTCAGGCACCATGTGGTCAGAAGTAGCATTTTCAGTTAAGACCTGGAACAGCCTGAAATGCAAGCCCACAACACTTTATCACAACCAGGAATGACTAAAGCCAGACAGAGCACAGTCCAGTATTCCAAGAATCCCCCGCTGTGTGCCACGGGGTGTCACATAACCTGGGCAGGAATAGAGGTGGCCCAGTTTCATGCTGACCAACTGAGTGTTATGCCATTCTCTCAAACTTCACTTGCATCTAGGACTGTGAAAACTAGAGAATCATATGGTTTTCATTGATTTTCTTGGACATAAAACTGAAATTTCAAATGCAGCAGATGGCCATGACCATATGGTTGCTGTGGGGAGCGTGGAATCACAGAATCCCAGAATGGTTTGAGTTGGAAGGGACCTTAAAGATCACCTCATTCCAACCCCTTGCTATGGGCAGGGACACCTTCCAATGGAAGGATGCACTGGGCTGTTGGTTTGGACGTGGAGTGATCTGGACATCTCTGTCAGACCTTTGCAATGTCCTGATCAGCTCCTCAGTGCAGGCTATTGCTGCAGCCAGAGCTCTGCTTCTCCTGCAGGCCAAAAGAGCTCTCTGACCATTTCTTCTTGTGCAAGCACCATGGAAGTGCCAACACCTGGTGTGTTTTCAGGGAAGTCCTGTCCCTGGAGTTCCTGTACCTCAGAGTCATCAGTGGCTGTGCTGATGGACACATTCGGATATTCAACTTCCTGACTGGAACCTGCCTCAAAGTGTTGGAGCCCAGCAGCAGCGGGGACCCCCTGTCTGCTCTCCATGTTGCAGGAAACAGGTGGGTGACAGCAGCTGCCAGCAGGCTCTGACCCAGATTTGATAGATTAGAAACTTAAAGAACTGTGCATTTTCCCTTCTCACAAATAACTTTTAAAGGGCTCCACTATTAATTAACTACTTCAATAATCTGGTTTAGTTCACAATGACTGAAGAGATTTCCTTTGTCTCTTCAACAATGTACAATTTCCTGCTTCTCTATAGCTGAAGACACAGACCCAACTGTAAAGCTGAATTCAGAAATTTTTAGGAGGTTGGAGAATCAAGCCAATACCTGACAATCTCTGCCTATTGCCTGACCTACAGCCTCTTTATAAAGGCCAATAATGAGAAATCCCAACCAGACCAGCACAGCCCTTCAGTCCACACTTAGATGTCCCTGAGAGTATGGTATGTGTAGTCAGGCACTTTCATCCTTTAGCACTATTCTGATCTAGCTCTGTCCACTGCTGAAAATGTTCATCCTAATTATTTTTAAATTAATTTTGCCGTTGAGCTGAATGAAAAGAGCCCCAGAGACTCACACAGGGCAAGAGTTAAAACATGCAGGTCTGATTGATGGGGTTAATTGCTGCTGCTCCTTCAAGGAGAGATGATGATCTCGGATCTGTTTGAGGCCCCAGGGTTTGTGTTGCACAGGAGCCCCTCAGGCAGGACCTGCCCTACCTGTGATTCCTGTGCTTTTATGGCTCTTCCCTCCTTTCTCCAGGGTGGTGACCAACTTCCCCAGCAGGCTGCTGCTGCTCCAGTTCGAGGATGTGGTGTGGGACTATTCCCTACCCGCTGATAGAGAGGTGCTGAAGAAGGAGAAAAAGTCTCGGAAGGGGAAGCACCAGGGTGCCAGTGCAGAGCAGCAGCGATCCCAGGACAAGTCCCCGAGATCTCGCCAGCCACCAAAGAGCCATGGAAGACACAAAAGTATCACACTGAGCCTCTGCTTTTCTGGTTTTTCTAAACTGAGTCACAAACCAAGCAGCCACTGCCTTCAGCCCAGCCAATATTCAGACTCTCTGCTGCTGTCAAGAGCAGATGTGCTGTTACATTTCAATGGTTCTGTCATTTTCTAGGCTTCTGTGAAACCTTTCTGCCGTTTTACAAGGGCTTGGTGTAAATTCAACACATTTTTCAAGACAGGCACTGTCATTTTCCAACTGAGTAAGACAAATCAGTAGTAGTATTCATATTCACACAGCTGGTGGGGTTGGAAACATGCTGCTGATTCAGGGCTTGAATTATTCATTACAAACACCCAAAAAGTGAGAAAACACCTACATTCAGGATCTGCCATCGCTGGGAAAGGCAACTGCACAGAAACAAGCACCTTTTCAATTGTAACACAGTGATGTTATCTTGTTTTCAGTCAGAGCTATTCAATACAGTGTGATGACAAATCCAAACTGAGCATTTCAGATAAACTGATGGGCTGGGAAAAGGTTCTTGCTTTTCAGGCCAGCAGATGCCAACTGATGCTTTGCTTGGTAAAAGACAGGAGCCAGGGAACAGCTGGAGCTGGGCCAGGGCAGGGTCAGGCTGGATTTCAGGGAAAGGTTCTTTTCTCAGAGGGTGCTGGGCACTGCCCAGGCTCCCCAGGGAATGGGAACAGCCCGAGGCTGCCAGAGCTCCAGGAGCATTTGGACAGTGCTGCTAGGGATGCCCAGGGTGGGATGTTGGGGTGTCTATGCAGGGACAGGGGCTGTACTGGGTGATCCTTGTGGCTTCCTCCCAACTCAGCTTATTATGTGATTCTCTATGCTCTGCAGCGTGTGGGAAAGCGTCTCAACTCCAAATGTGTTGCTTTGTTTTTGGCTACAGGTGGTGAAGCTGAACAGGGCCCTGCACCTGAGGAGGCAGAAGCCACTTTGAAGCATGAGCTGTCCCAGAGACACCCAAGCTGTCCAATGACCCCTGACAAGTTCTTCCTAACAATCAACACTCTGCAGAGCTCTTGCAAGCCAGCCCCAGTCAGCCCCAGTCCTGAGTCCTCTGCAAAAGCCAGGGAAGCACAGCAGCAGCGCCCTGGGAAGGTGCCAATGTCCAAAACGCCCCTGCAGCACAAGGAGGAGCAGGCAGCCCAGCTCCAGCATGCTAGGCTGCACAGCAACTCTCTGATCATGGCCAAAACTTCCACATCCTTTGAAACCAAAATGCTGCGGCTCAGGCTGAGGAACTCTTTGCACAGCCCTACTGTGAAATCCTCCATCCCTGCTCCCTGTGTTGTACGTCCCAAGTTTTGTGGCTCGCTGAGAGAAAGGAAAATTCCCAATGGCCGCGGGAAAGATGCTCCTGGCCCCAAACATGGAGATCAGCTCATTGATCTCTGCACAGCTTCTTCAGAGCTGATCCAACCAACACCTGGCACAGCTGCACAAATGAGGAATGAAGATCCCAGGAGAATAAAGCCCTTCTGGCCCTACGGTTCCCACAGGGACAGTGGGCTCAGGCTCCTGACAGCAGAGCAGGAGCTGCGTGAGGCAGCTGTGGCAGCTCAGCTTCAGGCACAGCAGGCAAAGCCCACAGAAGATAAGGAAGGAGCCAGAAGGAAAGCCTGGCTAAGGAAAATTAAAGGCCTACCTGTGGATTCTTTTACTGGGGAGAGAAAAACACCTGCTCCAGAACTGGGGCATAACATATTTATCTGAGGTGATCCCTGAGTCCAACCAACAACCATGATTTGGGATTCTGGTGTCCATGTGGCTTTAAGTATAAGATACAGATATATTCATTTATATATAAGGATATTTTGCATATGTAAGTATACTCCCTGTGGTTTTAAGTGTAAAACACATCCCCACTGTAAGTTTTCCTAAGAAATACTCTTGGTGTACTCAGGTATTTCTCAAGGCAGTGAATGGACTGAGTCTTATCCTGGATTTAACTCCCTAAAGCTGCTGTCGTTACCAACATGGCACTGTCTGACACCAACACAGCTCAACCCTGTGAGAATAAGAATAAAAACATCAGAGCTTTTGTGGATTGATTAGGGTGTAGAAGCTGAATGTGTGGATTGAAAGCTAATGGATCACTGGCACAAAGTCTGCTTGGAGGCCAGTAATTGGGGGTTGATCCTGGGTTCTGATTTTGTTTAACATCATCATTAATTAATACCCTGGACCATGGACAGGGTGCCCTGCGGTGCCACCAGACCCAGAGTGGTGCTGCCATCCAGAGGGGCCTGGCCAGGCTGGACACAGAGCTGAGAGAACCCTGGGGAAGTTCAGCAGGGGACGCTCCAGTGCTGCCCTGAGATAAACAGCCCCAACACCTGTGGAAAGCAGCTTAAACTTCATTTCTTTGAAAAACAAAATAGGGTAAGGGGTTCAATTTCCCCATTTTAGTGGATAAATGCCTACATGTACTTGATTGTGGAAGGTGGCAGAGTGATGGAACTGGATGATCTTTAAGGTTTCTTCCAGCCCAAACCATTCTGTGATTTTGTGGTTTCCACTAATGCTGAGGACTTAACAGGAGGACAAAAACCTTCCTAGTATTTGAAAAAAGCTGTTTATCTAGCTTTGAGTATCTGGGCTGGTGAACCAAAAATCTCTTGCATCAGGGGTTTGAGAGAGGCCAATTCCGCCCATGGTCATGTCAAGGGGCTTTCACCAGCAGTTCTGGTTTGAAATTAAAGTCTCTGAAACTCTCCCCACAGTGGGGTTGTGATTAGTGTTGGTTTGTTAAATTCAATGCCATCTTCGACTTGCAAATCCTGGGATGAAGCCAGTGAGAAATAACCGCAGGGAGGCTGGCAGCTGGCGCAGCGGGCACGTCTGTGCCATGGGGCAGGGACTGTCACCACGAGGTGGCTGTGCCTGGAACAGGGACTGTCACTGTGAGGTGGCTGTGCCATGGCACAGGGAATGTCACTGTGAGGTGGCTGTGCCATGGGGCAGGGACTGTCACTGTGAGGTGGCCGTACCATGGCACAGGGGGTGTCACTGTGAGGTGTGCCTGGCACCAGGGAACAGGGATGTCCCATTCCGCCGCATGATGGCAGCTTCTCCCAAGGAATGAGCATGAGCCAACCCTGCTGCGGCCAAGGAGCCTGTGCCACAACCCCCGGGGAAAGCCTGATGGAAAACCATCGGGAAGGCTGATTCCTTTTTGGCCGTGACGAAGTGAGGAGAATCAGGGGGTTTGTTCAGCTTGGAACCCATAAATCAGCAGCTCCCTGCAGGTGGGGGCTCAGGTGCTTGGAAGGAGTTGTGGTGGCACCGTGTCGGTGTAACAGCGGCTCTGTCTGCGCAGCTCAGCAGCTCCGAACAGAAGGAGCTTTATCCAGGGCTGTTTACAGCCGAAGGGTCGCTATTCCAGCAGGAAGGCTGGATACTTCACACGATCAACAGAGAGGGGAAAGATGCTATTAAAAAGTTGCAAGAACCTCTTTAATAAATACTTTATTAAAAAGTAATTTGAGTTTTTATGTAGTACTGTATTTATCAGCAGAAGCCTATGATGGCCTGTGAAATGGCTGAGTTAATTAAATGGAGGCAGTCGGGGATCAGGGTCAGCAGTGGCTCGGTGGCAGCCCCTTAGGGCGGTGCTGGTTCCCCGGGATCTCCCCAGGATCCCCCAAAATGCCCTCAGGCGGTGCCGGTTTCCCCGGGATCCCCTCAGGCGGAGGCGGTGTCGGTTCCCCAGGATCCCCCGGGATCCCCCAGGGTTCCCCGCTCCCCTCAGAGCCGTTGGCGGGAGCTGCGCTCGTCCCCAGCCACGTCTCGCACCTGGCGCCCACAAGCGCGCACGCGTACAGAGCGGGTCGGCCAAGCGGGGTCACGGGGTGCGCCGCCATTGGTCCGCGGCCGTGACGCACTTAGGAGTGGGCGGGGCGATGGAGCGGAGCGCGTCGCGATTGGTCCGCAGCCGTGACGCGCGCGGCGGGGCGGAAGTGGCGGTTCCGGCCATGGTACGGGCTCGGGGGCTTGGGTATGGGTCATAGGAGCGGGATCTCGGGACCGGGATCGGGATCGGGAGCGGCATTCGGAGTCGGACTCGGACATGGGTCATAGGAGCGGGATCTCGGGACTGGGATTGGAGCCGGGGCCGGAGCAGGGGCCTGGGCATGGATTATAGGATCGGGACTGGGACCCGGAGCGGGACCCCCTCTCATAGGCCCCGGGCGAGCTGCGGGGCACAGAGGCGCTTCCCGCCGTCCCAAGCCCGTCCTAATGATCATTTCTCAGATCACTGTGTAGGCTTGTGGCTTAAATCTTCACGTTCGTCCCAAATTAATTCTGATTCCGAGGTGCCTCTGGTTTTCTGGGTAACGAACACTGTCCCGGGTTGAAGTTGGAAACGGTTTTCATTTTCCTCCTTTGCCTCTGTCCCCACCTCAGGACAGCAGTGATGACATTGAAGATGTGTCTCTCTTTGATGCAGATGATGATGTTTCCAGGAGATCCAAAAAGTCAAAAATAAGGTCAGTGGTGACAGAGGGAGTTTCTGAAATGTCTCTTCCTTGTGTCAGCGTCCAGGCAGTTCTTTCCCATATTTCCAGAACACTGGGTTCATGTTCCTGACCCTTATCCTCTGCATTGCTGAAAGATCCCTTGGTAATGTCACTTGTCTGCAGGAGCTGTGACTGTCCTGTCCTTCATTCCAGGCACCCAGTGGCATCATTTTTCCACTTATTCTTCCGAGTCAGTGCCATCATTGTGTACCTGCTCTGTGAGCTCTTAACCAGCAGCTTCATTGCCTGCATGGTGACCATCATCCTCCTCCTGTCCTGTGACTTTTGGGCTGTAAAGGTGAGTTCTCCTTGTGCTTTTTGTTATCTTTGCCTTGCTGTATAAAAATAACTGACAGGGATATTCATGTCTCAAAAAAGTCATTTATTTGTGCCTCTCTCACAAAAATGATAGCCCAAAACACCCTCAAGTACTGTGGTGGATTATAGAGTTATGAAATAAACTCTGACATTTCAGTGTACTTGGTTCCTTTTGAAAGTTAAGTGGAGAACATTTATTAGACTCCCTTTTGAGGTAGCACAGGCGTTGTTATCAGCTCAGAACCACCACAAATCTGCCCCTTGTGCTGGATCTCTGAGAAGATGGATTGTTGTGGATCCTGTTCTCCCAGATGTGAGGCAGACAGGCACCCTGGAAAGCAGCAGCACAGGCACTGAGCTTTGGGAGAAGGTTTCTTTAGCAGAAGACACAGAGCTCATGGGTTCTCTTCTCTTTCAGAATGTCACAGGGCGCCTCATGGTTGGCCTTCGTTGGTGGAACCAGGTGGATGATGATGGCAGAAGTCACTGGGTTTTTGAAGCCAGGAAGGTCAATGATTTTTTTCTAATCTTGTCCTTGTGTCTGCTTCATGAACCCCCTGGTAATTGGTGGTTCTGCTTGTGAGGGGACATTGCACAGGGAACATTTACTTGCAACCACAGATGTGTGACTGTTTTGTGTAGGCTGCTGGATGAGCTTTTTGATTGTTGAGTTATGAAAAAATGTTTGTGATACATTGATCTGGCTTAATATAAGTAATGTAAGTCTGTGTTTTTTGGAGGTAGGACATGACTCTTTTGGCTGTTTCTAAGCTTTGTAACTGAACCATGCAGAAAATGTCACTTTTCCCAAACTTACGTTCTGGCCCCAAGCATTCCAAGAGGTTTTGATGCTGCTGCCTCCAGTGATTCTGAGAGAAAATAGAAAAGATTTCCTTAAATGGAAACACTTCCTGTTGCAGAGATGTCTTTGTGTGATGTAGGAATTAGTCTTGGAAGTGCTGTTGTGTGGAGGGAAATCCCAGGGAATGTGGGGATTCTGCCCCAGTTTTAAGGACATCTGTAGGATGGAGTAGCTTGATCACTTCATTTGCTTTCTGTTTCTAGGTGTCAGCACAAGGGGGTAAAACTTCATCTGAAGCAGAGTCACGAATTTTCTGGCTAGGCCTGATCACCTGCCCCATGATCTGGGTGATCTTTGCCTTCAGTGCTCTCTTCTCTTTCAAAGTGAAGTGGTTGGTGAGTCCCCTCCTGAGCTCCACGCTGGATCTGGCCCTGTCTGAGCCTCCAGGTGACAGCTGGTGATGTTTTTTCCCTTTCACAGGCAGTGGTGGTGATGGGGGTCGTGCTGCAGGGAGCCAACCTCTATGGCTACATCAGGTGTAAAGTTGGCAGCAGGAAGAACCTGACCAGCATGGCAACCAACTACCTGGGGAAGCAGTTCCTGCGGCAGGTGAGCTGGCCAGGGCTTTGGGATCCCTGGGAGAAACGGGAAAATGAGCTGTGCAGTGGGACCCTTCACACACTGCTGCCTTGGGAATCTGAGCCCTGTTAATTAAGGCACAAAGCACTGCTAATTGCTGCCATCTAGCCCCATGTGCAGCACTATGGTATTGGCTGGTGCCATGGAGAAATGCCATGGGAATTACTGGAATATGACTGGTGTGGTGGAAATAACACTCCTGGCTAAACGGACTGCCAGTGCCCTTTGTCTTCTCTCCCACTTGCAGCCAGCTCTTCTCAGCAGTTCCTCTTCTCCCCCAGCTCTGAGTTTCTTCCTTCCAGGAAAGGGAACAAATGTTCCAGCAGGAACAACCACGTTCCACTTTACTGCTGCTGGGCTGCTTTTTCTGGCTGCATTGATGACTCTGGCAGAGGTGTTTTGGCTGGCACAGGTTCACAGATATTTGCTGGAATTTCTGCCATTAGTGTTATCAGAAGCTCAAACACTGATGGACCTTTCTTGGCATTCTGTGTTGGGCCCATCCCCTTGGTTTGCTCCTGAATTCTTGTACCCTGGCAAGGGTTACCCAGATGCCCAGGCCACTCTCAGGCTCTGGCAGAAATGAATGTTATGCCCCAAAATCCCAGCAGTGACTCACAGAGTTCTCCTGCCCTCTTTGATCTTGCCTCCTGCAGACAATGGCTACAGAGGACCAAGCAGCATCCTGAGTGTGGTGGGAGCCTCTAGCCAGGCTGTATTCCCAGCACTGACCAACAGAGAAGGTTGCTCTGACCAATTTGGGAGCTGCACACAAGGTGTGAATCAAAAGAAGTAAATAAATTGTGCAAGACTTGAAGTTAACACTCTTGGCAACTTATATTCCATTTTCCAATAGCAGTTTATGTTTAAGTTCTCTCTTTAGTTTGATTAACAAGAATAAATTTGCTTAAACTTTAAATTAAAAGATAGCCTGAGTGGGTAGCATACAGGTTTAGAACTACTGGATGAGTTAAGAGAAAACTGCTGGAGATTCTTCAGAAAAGCCATGTACAAGCTGAGCCTTGGGAACTCTCTTGATCCTTCAGCACTTGGTGCCTGGGTACTTTCAGTTATGGACAGGTTTTGCTCTTGGAGGTTGTTGCTGCTTCTGTTACAGTGTGGGGAGTGATTTTTTGGCCCTGCATCCCTCATCGTGTGACTCGAATGGCACTGAGTGGTCAGGGAGGCCCATCTGAAGGAAATGGAGCTGCTGGGAAGATCCCTGAAGTCTCATGGCAGCTGCAGGAAGTGACCTGTGAGCAGGCCCTGGTTTTCTGAAGCATTCACAGACTTGGGGAACATCCTAAAGCCCTGAATCTGTGGGAATCCCTGCAGGCCTGGGCCTGTATGGAGAGAATGGCAAGAGTAGAAGCAGTTTCCAGGGATGGCTGCACCCCCATTCCAGCCAGGGAAGAGAGCAGCCTTTGTCTGGCCTGGCACACCGGGACCATGAGGTTCCTCAGGCCAGGAGCGTGTGGGGATGTGACCAGCACTTCCCTGGCACAGGGGTGGGACTGGCAGGGTTGTCCCCAAGCTCCCTGAGGAGTCTGAGCTGGGAAAAGCCCCTTGTGGGATCATGGCTGGAGTGCTCAGTGGGATGGCAGTGGGGTGTTCTGAGCTCATCTCTGCAGAGGGGTCAGTTCCTTCTCCTAGTGTTCTGTCCCTGGAGCTTGTGCTTCCACAGCAGCAGGTGCTGAACGCTGTGGTTGAGGAATTGTAAATGAAGAATGTGGTTTCTTTTAGACTCCTGGGCACTGTGAATTGTGGGGTTGCATTAACCTGGTTCCTCTCCCTGTGCTCTGCAGTACTGGCAGCTGTACATTTGTTTAACTCTTTGGATTGATACCTTCCTTTTGTAAACACCTGTTTATAAAATCTTGAAATTAAAATATTGCCTTGTTTAACCAGCCCAGATATCCTTTCTGTGCTTCATCCCTTCTCAGCTTCATTTCTGCCCCGTGTCCTTGTCAGGCACCTTTAGCAGGAGTTTATTGTCCATTTAAACAGTGCTGTTCCTCCAGCTCTGGCACAGTTCCTGTCACCCAGGTCTCTGCAGAGTTTTCTCTGGGCAAACACTCTGCCCAAGCTGCTGGAGCTGTCACCATGCAGAGCTGAAGTTGTCTCTCCAAGGCTCATCTCCTTTTGAGGGCACTCAGACCCTGCTCAGTGCCCACACCAGAGGAACTTCAATGCCCATTTACATCCAAGGGATCAGTTATTTCTAGGGAATCAATGTAAAGAGGCCAAATTCAATCAACCCCCAAGTAAAGACCCTTCAGCAGCCACATGGGGACGTGCAGATCCTGCAGGGAGGAGCTGCAATCCTTCCTGCTCCAGCCCAGCCAGCCCCTGTTCGCTGCTGAGCCAAGGGGCTGGCACAGCTCCAGCCACGAGCTGCTGCTTCTAAAATGTGTTAAAAGGTTTGGACTTAATGTTTGTTCACCTGCTGCCAAAGCTCCCCCCAGACTCCTGGAAAACAGGACTTTTCTGGAAGTTGCAGTTTATTTAGCCAAGGACAGAGGCATTTCTTAGTAGGTGCCTTTAAATAGAGCCTTCTTTGGGTTATTTTTAGCTCTTGGCAAACATTCAGGGTTTTGGCTTCTGAGAAACTGGCAGTTTATTGCATTTCTGTCATGGATCAGAACCAAATTTCTTATCTCTGCTGCAGTTGGGTGTGAGTCTGGTTTGATTCTCACCCGCTGTGTGCTGGGGTTTCCTGGGGAGCAGGAAGTGGGAGTTGCCTCAGAGCAGAGAAATTCTCTGAATGTGCTTTTTTCCACAAGCCCCAGGACTCCACACTGAGCCAGCTTCTTGAGAATCAGCTGGGTAATGCTGGCCCCACCTCAGACCTAGGTGGGGCTGAACTTGGAGGGTTTACAGAGCAGAAATACTCCAGGAGTAGTAATAATAATAATGATAATAACAACAATTACTCTTTGCTCTGAAATAGTGGAATACGGCTGGGATGGTGGAAGCACAGCTGGAGGGTGGGCTTGGGATTATCCTCATTTCACAGGCAGAGCCCTGTTTGGGGTCCTTGAAATTTGGGCCATCAAGGGAGGAGCTGGGCTAGCACAGGCCCTGGGGCACTCTGGCTGTCTGAGGTGCTCACAGCTGTCGCTGTTTGGTGACATGGGGACCTGTCCCCTCCCCCCTCCCTCCCCCTGTGCAGGTGCTGGGTGCTGATCCCTGGAAGGTGCTGGGTTTAGGCACAGAGGCAGTGCTTTCTCTGGCCCTGTGCTTTAACACATTCCTGGGATGCATCAGGACGTTCTAACCCCAAAGACCTTCCTGGGCAGTTTTTCCCCATTCCCTTCCCTCGGTGCTGTCCAGGATGCTGGGGGTGCTGGGCAGCCGGATCTGGGCACTTGGAGCCTGCAGAAGCTCCCTTCTGCTGCCCTCTGCACTCTGGGGGTGTCCAGTGGGCACAGCTTAAATCCAGAGGTGGGGGAGGATGGCTGGGTTTGCCTCTCATGCAGCTTGGGAAGGGAAGCATCCTGCTTTCCTAAGGGATATTTCAAGAGGAGGAGGAGGAGGAGACAGGATTTAAAGTCCAGGAAGTAAACCCATGGAGCTGCAGCCCCCTGAGGTCATGTCGGCTACTGAATTAATTATTGCCCAGAAAAACGAAATCCGCTTCCAACAGCTGAGTTTGCTCCTATGGAAATGGCCTCTCTGATCATACCAAAGGTCCCCCTAACTCAAGCTCCCCTTTCTGAGCCTGCTTTATGCTGCTGCTGCTGAGGAAATGCTGATGGAAAATCATGAGCAGGAGCCCAGAGGCTGTGCCTGCACCTCCGGCTCTGACAGCTCTGAAGCTGCCTCAGGAATTACGGCATGGAGACCCTTCCATGGCAATGTATTCCATAGGGAGACTATGTGTTCCTGGGGAGCCCCTCTGGTGACCTTCCCTAGGGACAGAAACTCCCATGCTTTTGTTTTATTCCCATCTTTTTGATGGATTTCCTCCCCTCAACTATTAATTTATAAATTACTCAATTAATGGCTGTTAATGCCAGGTCAGCCCATTGCTACACATTTCCAAGAGCTTTAATATTTCCCAGAATGTTTGCCAAAGCCATGCTGAGATTCTTCAGCTCATTCTCTTCTCTGTGAACCCTGGTCTGTAGAAGTCCCAACATTTTGCAACATGGGAGTTGGACTTTTTGCTCTGTGGTTCCTCACATTCCTCCAAGAATCCTTAAAATCCACCAGGATCACACTTGTCCCATCCCACCCATCTGGCACCAGTAGAAGCATCAGTCTGGGGATTAATTGCTCCTGAGTTCATCCCTGAGCCCTCCAGACTCCTCCTGGAAACCTCCTGGGCCTGTGGAGTCATTCCTCAGAATTATCCCTCTCTGTGTCACCAACCTTATTCCATTTAGTTAATTTTGGGTGAGCTCTCCAGCGTTTTTTCCTCCTTTATTTTTCAATCCCAAAGCACTGTGTAAACAACTCCATAGTAACCACTGGAGCCCGTGAGTCATTCTGCTTTTCTGCCACGGCCACGCTCCCTGCTCCTGCTGCTGATTCCAGAGGGCTCAGCTCTTACTCACCGTTTCCTCCTCAGGGCATTCCTGTAGGGCCCAGCCCTGTTTTATGGTTTGTGTCGCTTCTGCCCTTCAGGAGGATGTTCTGCCCCGGTGGCACCTTCTGTGCTTGTCACCTGTCCCCTCTCCTCTAAGGTTTAAACACCTCCGTTTCTCTTCACCAGTAGCTGAATTATGTTTTGTTCTTATTGGAGCCCTCCCTCACATCCAGACCCTGTTGTAGAAGGAATTGGTATCACCTGTGGTCTTGGGAACTCCCACATCTCCTTCCCTGCTCCTGAGAGCCACCTGTGCCACCTGTGGGCAGACGTTCCAACCCAAACCGTCACCTAAATTCTCTTTGGATGAGGAAAAACTATTCCCTTGCCTTTTGTGAGCCCTTGATTTCTTGTGTTTTAAATTGCAGAGTTGTGCTTGGAAGTTTGGTTTAATTAGGACTGGACTGGATGGAGATAGGGACAGGGACTTTGCTTGGATCCTGCTCCATCCCTGGCTCACAGAGCAGATCCTTAGTGGGGCTCAGCCGGGAGCTGGGGCAGAAGTGGCCAGGACTGAGTGCAGGTTGGAGTTCTGGGATGTGGAGCCTTCACCAGGCACCCCCAGGCACATGTGGGGGATCAGACTGACCTCCCCAGGCTCTTCGGCAGCTGCTGCACACGGGACACCCCCAGTCCTCAGCACGACAGGAGAAAAATGCAGGATCTGGAAATCCCTGTGGGATTTTCCTTGCTGTTTGCAGCAGGATGGGGAGGGCAGCATCCCCCGAGGTGTGACCAGGCTGGGCAGCCTTTAGGGGACATCAAACCAGCGAGCCCCCGGAGAAAACCTCCTCATCACCACGGCCCTGCTGTCTGAGGGCAGCAGCAGCAGCGAACATCTGGAGCCGCACAGCTGGGCTGCCCCTGCCCCAGGTCCCTCCAGCATCTGATCCATCCTCTCCTCACCAAACCCTCACGGCAGCAGAGGGAGCCCTTACGCTTTTGTTTAAAGAACAATTAAATAAATAATAATTTAAAAACAGAGCAGAGGAAGCTTTCAGGACGAGCTCGTTGGAAACAACTCCCGGGATCGATCCTGTGCCGTGAGGAGCCAGAGCCACCTGCGGGTGGCACCGCGGTGTGCAGGGCGTCACCTCCCCGGGTGCCATCCTGGCCACGCTGCCGCTCCTCCCGTGCCTCGCAGAAGGGTGACAAAGAGGGGGACAGCCACCAAAACCAACGCTGCTTCCGCCAGCGCTGGGGCCGGGCAGGGAGAGAGCGGGATGTGAGG